AACAATAAAAAAGAAAAGTCAGACACTTGCAATACTGAACTTTTCTGTCAAAGTTTGTCGGTAATAGAGCGAATTCAATCTTGGATGTCATGAATATACAGCAAGCCCAAAAGCGCAGCCGCGAAATCGAAAGGTTGATCCTTGGAATATGACCACAATAGTAAGAGCCGCTTTACTTGAAGCTTTTTTTCATCAGCTAATCGACAAAAACTTTACGAGATTCCAATGATCACTGTAAACAGAACCCCGTTTAAGCGTGAACTTAAAAATCGCCTGTTAAAACTTTTGGAAATTGAGGAGATGAATGTTGATATACGCTGCTCTGAAATTTGTAAATATCTCTTGATAAAGTAACTCTTCGTTTAAGTCTTGTTTCAATTGTATTATATATCTTGATAACTTTGCAATTGATTATTTAATTATTCAACGGACTTAATTTTATTTTATTTTATTTAACAATTGTATTTTTATTAATGATTATCTTTGTTTAATTGTATCGGTATGTGATCCTTAGCAGAGACAGCACTTGTTTTAGAAGGGTGGCCCGCCTAGAATAGCTTGCTAATTGCGGGTCACCTAGGTCTGTGATAATATTGTATTGCTAACAAATAAAATTGAATTGAATTGAATTGAATTGAAAATGTTTCTTTATTTTGTTGCATTATCGTACCTTTCTGTCTTTCTTCGCAGTCTTGAATTGTCAGGACTTCGTATGCAGCCTCGCTCAAATCAGTTGCGACAAAAAAATTATCAAGTGGCTTATATAGTAAATCAGTTTACCATATATACCGTTCTTTTCTTGCATATTTATGTTGGGTATTGCGTCTGAGGCGGTATTATAATTAGGTCTGAAGGGGTTTTCCCTGTTGAATTGGTACGTGATCAGTTTCTCTCTTGAATTGGCGCGTACCATTTCTCACGGCAACTGATACAACGAACGGTATAAGTCACGAACAGCCTTTGTAAAGTAGGAAGCTGACTATTGTAGGTTAAAAAAGCTTACTTTTCCAGCTAACGGGTGAAGAAAGTTGCGCGAGAACCCAACCAAGTCAAGACCGCTGGAACTTTTTAAAAGAGCTCTTTCTATATTTAGGTCTTCTTCACGGTCTACCTGCTTTCCATGGACCTATTTGCTTCCTTCTTACGTAATCTTGGCACTAACCAAATATTTCATGATGATGCCAACACGTTATTTTAGCACGTACATGTTTCAGGCATACATAAGCAGCGATAGCCAAAATTAACCTCGAAAGATCCTAACGAGAGTTTCAATAAAAAATCTCAACAAATGATGATACATGCAAGAGCCCTCCCGGCTGGTATAGGTTACTACGAAACGTGCGAGAGTTATTTCCTCGTGATCCTAGAGATCATTATGCAAGATCGATTTTCATGCTTCTGCAATCCATCACGTTCGACGTTGTTTATCAATTAATTTTTTCATTGATGTCTTTTAAGATGAGATAAAAATAAAGCTCGCAAAGAGACTCAAAGTTTTAGAGGAGACGCTAAGAATGCGTTTTTAGAGGAACTAAGGATTTCGCCTTTTTGCGTTTCATGTATGCGAAAACGTGACGAGCAGTTCTTCAGGCGGGCAAAACCAGACATTTACTCACTCTGTTACGCGCGCCAGACTCACGGGTCAAATATTACAATAACTTACAAGTAAAACCGGAAAATGCAAATACAGTTGCATAAAAATGGTAAGCGAGCTGTAAACTTGCAAATATTTACAAAGCGCTGCCTCAAAATGAAAGAAAATTTACTTATCCGTAGCTGTGTCATTTATAGCTTATTCTTTTAAAAGGTATTGACAACACAATGATCGTATTTTAGGACGAGGAAAGCACCCGTTCGTGGCCTTACAACTATGGAAATAGATACAAAAGGATTGGTATGTCACGCGATGCGCCTCAGACGACTAATTTCAAAAACGTTTTACATTTAATATTTCCTTCTTATTAGAGAGTTGACGTAAGATTAGATAGACACATTATCTATGCAGGATCTTGGGCGCAATCGAACTTTTAATGGAAATATTGATGGTAACATCAATAAATTAATCAACAGTGAATGCAATGCAGGTTTATCATGTAAATTATACCGTTAGGGATGGAATTATGAGCTATGACCCCGTGTCTGCCGAGCACAGCTTGTCGAGATGTGCTCTCTACACACTCGCACATGTTTTTGTTTTTCTTCTTCTTTTCTTTTTCTTTGAAATGAAGAATCGTGAAATATTTCGTGGCGGCCTCTTTAAGTTTTTGATAAATCGTAACTGATATGGTTGGAAAAGTCGAAGTCCTTTATTTGTGAGACGTGATCTTACTTTGACCGTCACGTGATCGTTCGGAAATTTGTTGTGCTAGGTTGATTGTTGCTAAGTTTTGAAACCTATTAAAAAATAACGGAACAATTAACCTTCTGATTATTCTAAAGACTGTTACTCATCGTGCGTAAAGCAAAAAATAAACATCACGATTGTTGTAGAGCATTTAACATACGCACTTGTAGGGATGTTTCAAATTCATATCGGAATCAAAAAGTGACAGTTTAACCGAGCGTTCGGTAAATGTCAAAGAAACTGAATATGTCTCATTTTCCTGGTTTTTTTGTTCAGTCACATGATGTCTTAGATGTCGAAACAATATATCTCTTTTCGTGTGTTAACATCCTGAATGAAATAACTGAAGTATTCTTAAGATTAGACCTCATCGTGTGTAGAAGGAACTCATGATAAAACCTGAGCGGTCAAGAAATTACGCGACTGAGAAGAAGTGAAAATATTGCGAAGTAAGCTTTTGTCCAGCGGTTGGGACCTTGTCTCACTTCAGAGAATAAGAATTTAACATGTAAATAAAAAATAATCACGAATCATTTCGCTAAATTTGAAAAGGTGAAGAATAAAACTATCGGCGAAATAGAACGGTGGATTTCGCCTGACGGGAAATCACTCTAAAGATTAAGATAATTTCGATTCCATATCAGCCCGATGGCTGTGTTTGTTTTTAGCTTCGTCATTGTTATGTTTTAATTTTAAATACCCGGCAGCTTCTAGGTTTCGTTTACGTTTTCGATCTGATTGATAACGCTCACAAACCACAAATTTCCACGCTCAGTGAATGTAAATGCAACGTTGTCGTCTAGATAGAGGCGGTAAAATTCAGGCTGAAATTATCGATAACCTTAAACCGTTATTGTACCAAATACCCCGAAACATAGAGGAAAAAACAACAAACAAAAACAATTGTATTCAAAAATACCTTATAAACAGCCTCCTATTGCAAGCTCAGGATTGATTACCGGGTGCTTGAAGTTACAGAAGTCTTCTCGACAATTTATCTGACTGATCTGGCCACGCGGTGGAAATATTATGCCCGCGGCTTACGAAACGCCTCACCAAGAAGCATTTGGGGCCTGCGCGTACATCCCGCCAGAAAACGAAAAGGCACCTATGAAAAAACTTCGTTGCGATGTCAATTCAAGCAGCCGTTCTCGCCTCCCGCCTCGGAGAATACGATAAGCAGAGAATTGGACGATCACGTGACCATCTCAGGTTTTTTTGGGATTGAGCAGTTCCCGGTTGTCGATTAAGCGGTTTCCAAGAGTACTCTGGACACAATAATCCATTGTTTGACTTTTTTTTAGATTTTGGAGGCATTTTCTCTTCTGTTCGAAATGTTGTGTACCGAAAATAAACCCGGTTTGTGGTGGTCACTTGAAACATAGAGAGGAAAAACAACAAAAAAAAACAAAAAACAATTGTATTCAAAAATACCTTATTAAAAGCCTCCTATTGCAAGCTCAGGATTGATTGCCGGGTGTTTGAAGTTACAGAAGTCTTCTCGACAATTTATCTGACTGATCTGGCCACGCGGAGGGAACACAATGCCCGCGGCTTACGTCAAACGATAAGCAGAGAATTGGACGGTCACGTGACCATCTCAGGTATTTTCGGGATTGAGCAGTTCCCGGTTGTCGATTAAGCGGTTTCCTAGAGTACTCTGGACACAATAATCCATTGTTTGACGATTTTTTAGGTTTTGGAGGCATTTTCTCTTCTGTTCGAAATGTTGGACTAAAATCCTAATACAAAAAAAAAGTCAAATCAAAGCCAAGTCAAATTTATTCCTTGTTTATCTCCTGAAAACAATGTTAGTTCTTTGAGTTCAAATGAACTGTGGTTTTGCAGATTATCTTCTTTCTAGAACTGTTAGGACGAAACGCGTCTTTTAAAGCGTTTGACTCCTGTCATAGCAGTCAACGTGCATTGTACTTAAGTTTCTCACAGAAGCAAGTTTTTATTTTTCCTATTGTTAAATAATTGTTTATTAGTAAGAGAAAGAGAAGTTCCTGTTTCAGCTCCACAGGAATCTAAAGGGGTACTAATTCACTTCATCACAGCATGATATTGATATACATCAATCATTATACTTAAGGAGTGAGGGAAATTGTTTCGAACGTGGTTATATTCACCGGCTAGCTTCTTTATGTTTTTCAAATGGCAAACTGATATATGAGGATTAAAACTCAAACCATATTCCCAAGAATAACTTAACGGAAAATTGCATTCAAAGGGGATCATAACTATATTACAAAGCCTAATGAGGAGATCAGGTAAATTTTATCGCAACACAACTGAAATCCTCCGATACACCCTCTAAGCGATCAAAAATGATCGGTCCTTTAAGTTTTCTCTTTTCAAGATTTGTTTACATTCATTCTCTTGCCTTTACAGCACCACCAAAATTACTCATCAGTCTCTTGTTGCCGTGAGAAAATGCTAAAAGCTGATGATCTTACAGAAGTGTGGTCAATCTTAATCAAGAGAACAGCGAATCTTAGAACGAGAATGAATCGGGGCTTGCAGATGTTTTAAGACGATTAGAAACAAATTAAGTAGCGAAAATGTCTCTATTTCTCTGTCACTGTAGCAAAAAATAATTACAAGGCAAAAATTATCAGGTTATTAGATAATTTATAGGGTCTGATGGCTGTCGTCAAACCGTAGTGACCTTCTCATCAGTGACCTTGATCATCGTAACAGTGGTCGTCTTGGTGACAACATTGGGGGAACCGTGTACTTGTTTTTTAGACGATTCTGTACACTGCTTCACCACAGACCCGTCAAGTTTAGAATCTGAAACTAAAGTAATATCAAAAGATGCATCAGATTATGAAATTAAAAATTTTGTTTAAAAAGTTTGAATCAGCCTTCAAAAACCCCTTCAAAACGGTTTTTATATGTTTTTGAAATGATTTCAAAGAATGGATTTTGAAAACCTTTGATTAGTAAATTGTGTGGTATTTTTGATTTAACTTAAGAAGGAACTGTTACTTTAATAGTCAATTCTGGGGTTAAGAATCCTCATACTCTTAGATTTTACTGTTTCTCGGATCTCCCTTGCGACATCCTTATTAGGCAAACTTTTGCTTTAGAAGATTTTAGAAGGTTTCTGCTGGATTTTGTTTGATACATATCGAAAACCTAGCCCCCTCCCCCTCCCCTTTCCAGCGGTCCGTACCATTGTGTGAGAGTAATTAGGTGTATGACTAGTAATCAACATAAGGGTGTTTGCAATTTGTTCTTAACAAAGGAAATTAAACAAAAATTTAGTCATGACCAGTCATACTTTTACCTAAACTGCTCTGGCCTGATAGAGAAGACGTGGTCTCTTGCACTCCTTTTTTTTCCGGACTCCTATCACCAGCTTCCTCTTGAGTAGGATGTGGAAGTGGGCTCTCTTCATACAGATCTCCGTTTGGGAGAAAGACTCTATCATCTATTTGTTCCCGATTGACTTGTTCATCTTCTTCGTTATTTTTTTGTTCTTGATTTTGCGTCTGACCAACTCCATTTTCCACTGTAACCACACCAATCCTCATAGACAAGGCCTTCCGGCGCTTACGCATAACTTTGCGGCACACGATAACGAGGATCGTGATGACAGCTGAGAAGCTGCCCACAACAGAACCAGCTATGCTGCCCACATTTGGTGAGTTCTCCTCAATCAGGTTGACGGCTGGCTCACTTGAAGAAGAGATTACTTCGGTGCTCGTTGTAGAAGAGGATGACCCCCACTGGGTCGTGGACTGATGTGGTTGAAAAATTGACGGCGCCGTGCTCTTTCTTGATGTCACCAATGCGCTGCACTTGTGAGACCGTAGATAGCTGCACTGCATGCCTGTTGGTACACCTGGAACTTGACACACAGGTATAATGATATCTTTACCATCATTACAACACGGAGAGCAGGGCTTGCACACTCCCAGCATGCCTTCAGCATACGCGCCAGGCTTACACCTTCCACACACGGCTTTGGAAGTCGCGGTGCAGGCTTTCGTAGTTTCGCGGTACTCATCGCAATTTCTACAGTCCTTACACCCTCCGGCCTCGAGGAAAGCAGAATATGTCTTTCCCAGCACACATGGCTTGCACTGCACAGGTGTCGAAGGAGTTATTACGTCTCCGCAATTGACTGAGAGACCCTCGCCAGGTGCACACTTTAAACAGTCCTGGCACTGAATCGAACCAGTTTTTGGATCTTTGATTGTAATCTGATCCGGTTGGCATGAAGAATTGGCCTGAACGCTTACGTCTGCAAGTTAAAAAATACCTTTCAGTTTTTTACTGATGTCAGATAAAGAGCGAGTGGTACAAGGACTAGTGTATTCTAACAATGGAAATTATCTTTGACTAATGTGGTCTAGATGACACCTTTTATAGGAAGAGGCGCTTCTTCAAAGTAACAATAAACTATTTTATCATATAAACTATGGTGTTATACAGAGATTTCCAACCCTGAAAAAAGCCGTTACAATACACGTGAAAAAATATTGTATTTTTTTAAAATTGTGTTTAATATCGCCAACCAATTGCTAACACGTCACTCGCCTTTCGCACCACTCGGTCAAGTTAATGAATGAACGGCGAAGCCTTCACCATTCTCAATCCAAAGTTGTTTGTTGGAATTTCTTCGGCTTGTGGCTGCTAAAACACTGAAAAATCGGTATTACTTACAGACATTGACGTTCCAACTTTCTTAGAAGGGGAAGAAAACCAAAATACGGAAAGAAAAACCGAGAGTTACGTATCCAGTGGCTTTGGTAATGGCATTTACCATTAACGAAAATTGACAACTGGAAGAGTTGTCACGGGCCGATTTTGGCCGTTTACCTGAATGATTTCTTCTGTCGGTAAGGACCAAGTCAATAACTAAGAATTTCGTATATTGAAAATTGAAAAGTTATTTTGTAGTGTTTCAAAGTATCTTTTCATCATGAGGCTTAGTGCCAACGCACTTTATGATTTTTATTCGGGGATTCTCCATCCTTTTATTTTCATTCATTAGTTAAGTCGACCTTTCTTTCCAGTAAAGGGCTATTGTGTTTATATGATAAATAGAGAATAATACATGGGCGCACGTAGATATGGGATTTCTCTTCGATTGTTTACATCGATAGCTCACGAATGAGCGCAGGGAACGAGTGAGATGTCGAGTTGAACAAGAGAAGAGAAATTCCATATCTACAAGGCGAGTGACATGCTAGCAGCTGATTGGCGACATCAACCACACGTAAAAAATATCGTATTTCTCAGGGATGGAAATCGTTATATGACACCGCAGTTTATTTGATAAAAAATAATACATGCTTACTTGATAATTATTTTTTTGAAAAGGAAAATCAAGGTTTAAGAGGGAGAAACGAGCGCTGGGAGAATCTTGGAGTATGGAATTACCAAGCGACAGAAACTTGAGGAATAGCTCAAAAACGACACAGAAAGCAGCTGCAAGTATTACTAAAAAAAGATTCCAAAGATTCCAACATAGTGAATTTCCACTCGCTTTGCGACTTTCTCTACGGCTGCCATAATGACAGGATAAAGTTTACGGTCGTTGGTTTATGTTCTTGTCTTCTTCTGAATAAAAGCCCTGTTGAAAAGAATTCGTCGGAGTACCGTTTTGGAAGCCCTCTTTTCCTAGCAGCTGCCATGTTTACAAATGTAAATTGCCACAATGCGATTGATACTCTAATGCGCAAGTGCAATAGGGAAAGCGTTGTCCCCGCCAGTCTGGACGCCAATTAGAGCAAATGTTTGCGCTTATGGGAAATAAGTTTTATATTAATAGATAGGTTCAACTCAGGGGGTCTGATAAACATACTATAAACAAAGAAGGGTGTAATACGATACTTACGAAAAAGCAACGAAATATAAGAAAACAGGAACAGTGAAAATCCTCCTTTCATCGTCACGTGATGGTTTTTAGTCAGCTCCATTACTATAACAAATTCTGAAACATTAAAATATATATCCTTTTAGTTTCTAATGGAATTAATGGAATAATATTTAAGTTGTATTATGAATATCTCGCATTATGCTAAACCCCGCAAGGTTAGAAATTGTCATCGCCGACAATTTACTGATGCTACCCGATCAAGAATCGAACACCACTCGCTACGCACGATAGAAATTGCGTAACGAAAACCCTGTTGAGTCAGTGGAGGTTCGAGTTAGCTGATAGTAAATGAATGAAAAAAGAGGGTCAAGGGAAATCTGTTTTTTTTTTTTTTTTCCTGATGACGCTGTTTTTCTTTCCGGCCAAGATAAGGCATTTCTCCCACGCAAACAATTGTGAGGGAGGAGTGGGTAACAAGCCTAAATATGCGCCTACGTGTTAGGCCGGCCTGAAAAAGGTTCCCCAAAGTATTTTTAGATCTATGGAAAAATTTAAACGGCGAATCAAATTTTAAAAAAAAGTTGTAACCAACAAACAGCAGGTTACAAACAATTTAAGTCTATGAAACGTTAGGAAAATGACTAACAGCGTTGTAGCGACAATGAAAAAAATTAGACTCATACAATACTGAACTTCCCTGCCAAAGTTTGTCATTAATAGAAAAATTTAATCTTGGATATCAAGATTATAAGGCAAGTCTAAAAACGCAGCCATGAAATTAAAGAGATTGAGCCTTGGAATATGACCACAATAGTGAGAGCCACATTTTTTCCCCCATCGCTGATCGATTTAAACTTTACGAGATTCCAGTCATCATTGTAATGTTGCTTAATCTTGTTGTATTATCCTACCTTTCTGTCTTTCTTTACAGAGTCCTAATTTGTCAGGGCTTCGTTTACAACCTCGCTGAATCTCTGCAACAAGCAATAGATATGAACTGGTTTACCATATATGCTGCTCTTTCTTTGGGGTATTATGTCTGAAGGGGGTTTTCCCTATTATATTAGTACATGATCAATAATTTTCTACATTTACATGAGCATTTCTCACTGTCACTGATACAACGGACGGCGGAAGTCACGAACAATCCTTTAAAGCAGGAAGCTAAATATCGGCCAGTACGTTGAGAAAAAGCTTAAGTCAGCTAACGGGTGTAGAAAGTTGCGCGTAAAACCAAACAAGGTAATAACCGCTGGAATTTTAAGCGTTTTTTGTTCAAGTCTCCTTTACGGTTCAACCAGAGCTATTTGCTTCCTTGTTACGTTATGTGGGTACTAACCAAAATATTTCATGATGATCACGTACATCATGATGATCACGCTATATATTAACAGCGAGGCCCAATACAAACTTCCGGAGGTGTTTTACGCAACAGACGGTGAAAATTACGAGCCTGATGGCTTTCGTGTAATGGTTACTGCTGTCGACCGATATCTCACCGAAAATAGTAAACACGCTCAATTATTCGTGACAGAGAATTAGTTTTTAAAAAAAAAAAAGTTTTAACAAGTCATGAGTTCTCGAGTAAAAAAGCCCGGCTACGGGCTCCGGCTTGGCTGAGTCTAATGGTTACTGCTGTCGGCAAATTATTCGTGACAGAGAATTTTTTAAAAAAGCCGAACTAGTGAGCCATGCATACAGGCAAATTGAGCCATGCATACAGGAAAAAAAAATTGAATTCAATAATATTTGTGCTTCTATGTTTTTAATAAGTTATCACATGAATTTTCTGATTTTTAGTAAATTTTTCAAAGACCACGAACTTCACTTGCCCTACGGGCTTGTGGTAAGCCTTTGAAAAATGGATTGTGTTGATTTATCTCAAATTGTACTCGCAATAATGCCATTACCTATACTAATGACAAACATAGTACACACACATGCGACGACTGAAACAGCTCATATTACGGAGGTGATATTATGTCATACAAGATATATTTAGATATATTCTGGAGTGGGCCATGAAGTTTTCGCTTGATTCCGCATTCCATCACGTTCAGTATTTGCAAACATTTTCTTGACCTGCTATTAAACCTTCAAGAAAAAAAAAGCTGAGCATTCCTCGAATGAAATATCAAAATTTTAGCGTAATCTTTGTAAGTTCACCTTCTTAAATGCATGCCTACTAATCTATTCATCCAAGGCGGGGACAGCCTTGAATAGTTGCGTTTCCGAGAAAAAGCGTTCCATTCTAGATTTCGCTATCGTCACGGTCACTTCAGATTGGACCAAAAATCAGTGTTATCTCATTTATGTTACCTAAACAAGTGTCTGTGTGATGGCCTAGCCTGAAAGGCCATAGATCGTCAGAAAAATGTAAAAAGCGATTTACTTAGAAACGTTTGATTAATGAACAGGAGGTGATTTAAACTGGCAGTCGCATCGGGCAACTGAGGAAATAGAAACCGACGATAGCTAATGCAATGATGAAAACATTTATAGCAAACAGCCTTCCGGCGAATATAGAAACATTTCAAAAGATTTCAGGCCTATATGCAATACTAAATTTACCGGTTTAAGTATGTGGAGAAAAATTGAAACTTAATTTTGGTTATCTTGACTGAATGGTAAGGCTGCAAAACATCGTTGAAAAGAATTGGGCGATGTGGAATAATTATTGACTATGGTAGAGGAAAAATCCAGGGGCCTCCTTTCTTCTTCTGAAAAATTAAGATTAAAAAAGATTCCGATTAATGTGCTGTTGCATATATTTATTTCATCGTACCTTCGTTATCCTGTTTTGCAAAGTTTTGAAATGCTCACTCAAAACCTTCGTCCGCACTCAGCAACAAGGAAATTATGTAATGACTATATTTTAATAGTAATTACTTACACGTGCCATCCTTCCTTTTGTTAGTGCGTGGACCAATCACGTTTGAGACTACTTCTGAAGGGGTTTTTTCCCGTGAATTTGTGCGTGACCTGAACTAACATCTTTATCTAAGCGAGCACAAGTGAGCCACCTGATTTATGACAAAGGGAGGATGAAGACGTATAAGGACTTTGACTTCATACAATAATATTCAATATTTCGTTACGCAGGAAGAGCCAAAATTTTCCTCGGAAGATCCAGACGATAGTCGTGGAGTGAAGAAATATTGTCAGAGAAGATATACAACAACCTCCTAATTCTTTCTGTAGACATTAAATCAATTAACAGTAAATCTCTGCACGGGATTTGAACCTATGACATGGGTTCAAATCCCGTAGAGGCCTGAATTTTTTTCAGGCCTTATTTTCACTACTGCTCAAGTAGTGTTCGTTACTGCGACGATCACTTTCATATTCACGTCTTTATCCGCAGTTTAAATATATGACGTTCATATTTTCTTAGTCGTTTATTACGAGCCTGATAGCTTTCGTGTAATGTTTATTGTTGTCAACCGATGCCTCATCGAAAAAGAGTAAAAATGCCCTAAGCAAGTTCTTGTGGGATAAGCCCGACTACGGCAAAGGTAAGCAGCCGAAGTGTAGCATAATCTTTGAAAGGTGAACTTTCTAAGTGTATGCCTGCCGATCTATTCATCCAAGGCGGGAACAGCGAAATAGCGAGTGAAATGGTCACGTTTCACGTAAAGAGCGACCCACTCTAGATTACCTTGTTATCAAAGCCACTTTCCGAGACTGGACAGACATGTTACTACGCAAGATTTTATGCGCAACTGATTTCATTTGCAAAACAAGTAATTTGATTGAAATTAATTTAGTTGTTATGATTACAATGCTCATGAATACGATACTGTCTATTAAATAAACTCTAAAATTGGTGTTTAGTCGCAGTGAGATGTACTCCTCTCACAGCCGCTTTTTCCCCCAGTCTCCCCCTTCTTTTCTAGAAAGGGAACAATTTCCACTCATTTTGAAACGAATTTATCAGAGCAAAGTATTCCATTTCAGTTTTAAACTCTCTGTTGTCTTACCTAGTATTTCCTTCACATAGCTGTTCGCCAGTGAAAATTATTGCGCGGAGTTTATTGATATCGAACTTTTAAACTCCTAAAGAAAATGAAACGAAATTCAAGTTCTCTGTATTGTTAAGCTTGTTACTTAATGAGCTTAAAGAAGATAAGAAACATTATGATAATATTAGAACATTCAAGGCGCAAGATTTAGCCGCCACTAAGTTAACTTTCAGAACAACCTTTTTTTGGAAATCAATTAACTTCTTAATCGTTTTAAGAGCGAATTCTAAAATTGGTCGATTAATAAAGTGTCTCCGTGACGTAACTTGCACAGATAATATTGCCGAGATGTAATCTTCCCACGGCCGCAAAAAGGTTGTTTCCATCTTTTTCTCTTATTTCTCGGAAGGGAAAAGTTATGACATATAATTTCCCGCGGTTATTGGGCGTTCTTTTTTGTACGCGTGTTTAGTCACATAATCTCCAAGAGGCCTAAGCCCACCATCTGCTTGAGGGTACAACGCCTTGAGTAGATACTGACTACTTTACATAAATAAATGCCAAATGCCTTCTAATGGAAACAAACCGTCACCGCCTGTGACAACATCGTGCTCAATAATTCTCGCGCTGGCTTGAGAATAGAAAGATACAAACGGTTTGGCTGACGCTACAACTTTCAGCAGTGGAAACTGCTAATAAAACGGCAGTTTAACTTGTTATATGATCTGAATAAAAATTTAGGAAAATGTAAGGCTACATCCTATTATTGTGTATTAGAGTTCGATCAACTACTAGAGAGTAATGCGTGAATCAGACCGCGTGCTCCACACAGCTGCTTTATTAGAATTCAATGAACTTAGTTATATACAATGATATATAAGCATAATCACGAGACTGCGGTCAGGGATGTGCTAACCAATAGAATACAGCTGAGGTATTTATCCAAATAGGAACAAACACTACACCTATTGTAGCATAGATGTAAACTGATGCGCCGAGTCGAAGTGTAATGTAATTGTAAGCTGCTTAACCTTTTCAATCCTAAAACTAGCATATAAGTTCTTCATACCGCTCTCTAAACATTTCCTATGATACTTTCAAGGAGAATCTTTTTGAACAATCAAGAGGTTTTTGAGTTCTCCTAACCTTAATGTTTGATTCAAGTATGATAGCACTGGGAGAAATTAGGTAATTGCTGACCTGAAACAAGGAAATACAATTTCTTAATTTGTAATTGCCGAGAGAAAATGCTAAAAGCTGATGATCTCACGGAAGCACGATCAATCTCAATCAAGAGAACAGAAAATCTTGAAACAAGAATGAGGCGGAGCTCGCAGACATTTTAAGAAGATTAGACACAACTAAAGTAGCAAAAATGTCCCGATTTCTCTGTCACTGTAAAAAAAATTACAGGGAAAAATTATCGGATTATTACATGATTTATAGGAGCTGATGACTGTCGTCAAACCGTAGTGACCTTCTCATCAGTGACCTTGACCATCGTGACAGTGGTCTTCCTGGTGACAACATTGGGGGGACTGTGTACTTGCTTTTTAGACGATTTTGTATACTGCTTCACCACAGACCCGTCAAGTTCAGAATCTGAAACTAAAGTAATATCAAAAGATACATCAGATTATGAAATTGAAATTATGTTTAAAAAGTTTGAATCAGCCTTCGAAAACCCCTTCAAAACGGTTTTATATGTTTCTGAAATGATTTCAAAGAATGGATTTTGAAAGCCTTGATTAGTAAATTGTGTGATATTTTTTATTTAACTTAAAAAGGAACAATTACTTTAATATTAAATTCTGGGGTTAAGAATCCTCATACTCTTAGATTTTATTGTTTCTCGGATCTCCCTTGCGACATTCCTATTAAGCAAAACTTTTGCTTTAGAAGATTTTGGAAGGTTTCCGCTGGATTTTGTTTGATACAAATCGAAAACTATAGCCCCCTCCCCAGAGTGTGAGAGTAATTAGGTGTATGACTAGTGATCAAATAAGGGTTGTTTGCAATTTGTTCTAAACAAAGGAAATTAAACAAAAATTTAGACATAACCAGTCATATTTTTACCTAAACTGCTCTGGCCTGATAGAGGAGACGTGGTCTCCTGCACTCCTTTTTTTTCCGAACTCTTATCACCAGCTTCCTCTTGAGTGGGATGTGGAAGTGGGCTATCTTCATGCAGAAAGACTCTGTCCTCTATTTGTTCCCGAGTAACTTCTTGATAATTTCCTTGTTCGCAATTTTGCGTCTGAGCAGCTCCGTCTTCCACTGTAGCCTTCCGGCGTTTACGCATAACTTTGCGGCACGCGACGACGAGGATCGTGATGGCAACAAGGAGGCCGCCCACAACAGAACCAGCTATGACGCTCACATTTGGTGAATTCTCTTCAATCAGGTTGACGGCTGGCTCACTTGGAGAAGAGATTACTTCGGTGCTCGTTGTAGAAGAGGATGGCCACCATGGGGTTATGGACTGATCTTGTGGGGTTGACGGCGTCGGGCTAATAGTTGATGTCACCAATGCGCTGCACTTGTTGGATCGTAGGTAGCTGCACTGCATGCCTGTTGGTACACCTGGAACTTGGCACTCAGGTATAACGATATCTTTATTATCATTACAACACGGAGAGCAGGGCTTGCACAGTCCCAGCATGCCCTCTGCATATGCGCCAGACTTGCACCTTCCACACACGGCCCTGGAAGTTACCGTACAGGCTTTTGTAGTTTCGCGGTACTCACCGCAATTTCCACAGTCCTCACAAGCTCCGGCCTTGAGGGAAGCAGAATATGTCTCTCCTAGCACACATGGCTTGCACTGCACAGGTGTCGAAGGGGTTATTACTTCTCCGCAATTGACTGAGAGACCCTCGCCAGGTGGACATTTTAAACAGTCCTGGCACTGAATCGAACCAGTTTTTGGATCTTTGATTGTAATCTGATCCGGTTGGCACGAAGAATTAGCCTGAACGCTCACGTCTGTGAGTTGAAACATACCTTTCAGTATTTTATTGATGTGAGATAAAGAGCGAGTGATGCCTGACAAGGACTAATGTATTGTTACAGTGGAAATTATCTTTGACTAATGTGATCAAGACGATACCTGTTTTAGATACAAGCGCTTCTTTAAAGTAAAAATAAAGTATTTTCTATGAATGGGATATATAAGCACGGACTTCTGTCTCTTTAGCATTTTTCTTGAAACCCTTGCGGACTTAAAACCGGTAAACCCTCTTCATTCCATTGCGGATCTTCAGTCAGAAGGCCATGAGCGATTTTTGCAGCGCTGTGATATTTTTATGTGCTCTTATGTTCATCCTCGATGACTTCGCAATATATGACCTGAAGGTTGCCTTTAGATTAGCATTGTAGCTTATTGTCAGCTGTAAAGCATAGACTATGAAATTAAATAGATAGATACAAAGGGGCCTGACAAACATATGATAAATGAAGAAAGGTGTAATACGATACTTACGCAAAAGCAACGACAAAAGGGAAAACAAGAACAATTGAAATATTTCTTCCATCGTCAAGTTTTCAGTCTGATCGGCAGCCCACTATTACAATAAATTCTGAAACATTAAAAAACATCCTATTAGTTTCTAATGGCATTGCAACTTTTTTTCATAAAATTTAAATTGTATTCAGATTAAGAGTATCTTGCGATGTTTTGCTTCACGCTAAACATATTGTCCCTCAGAGCCCCGCCAGGTAAGGAATTGTCAGCGCCCACAATTCTAGAATCGAATGATAGAAATTACGAGACAAAAGCCTTATTAAGTTAGCGGGGGTTCGAGTTAACTGATAGCAAATGACTGAAAAAATAGGATCGATGAAAATCTGTAATATTTTTTCTTTTCCTGATGACGTTGTTTTTTTTTTCGGCCTAAATATAGCATTCCTCCCACGCAAACAATCGTGGGGTAGGAGTGGGTAACGGCCCTAAATGTGCGCCTTCGTGTTAGACCAGCCTGAAAAAAGGCTCTCCGAAGTATTTTTAGATCAATGGAAAATTTAAACAGAGAATTAATTAAAAATAAGTCGTAACTAACAAAAAGGCAGGTTAGGAACGATTTTGAGTCTATGTAATGATTTAAAGTAGAATTAAACGGAAAGTTTGGTTTTATGAATTGAGTTGACAATGTAAATTGGCCGCCATACGCGTGAAGAGTTTCTAAGGCTGAAGTTTCGAGCGTTAGACCTTCGTTTAATGGTTGTGCCATGCTACTGAGGCTACGACAATACAGGACAATACAGGAGCCACTGAAAAGTGACCTACAGCGTTCTGGTGACAATAAAAAAAATATCAGACACGTGAAAGTTTGTCAGTAATAGAGTGAATTTAATCTTGGATATCATGAATATACAGCAAGCCTAAACACGCAGTGGCGAAATTAAAAGACTGATCTCAATAGTGAGAGCCACATTACTTGAAGCATTTTTCCGTAGCTAATCGACAAAAACTTTACGAGATTCCCATGATCATTGTAATGTTGCTTAATTTGTTGTATATTGTCCTACCTTTCTGTCTTTCTTTGCAGAGACTTGAATTGTCAGGGCTACGTCTACAGCCTCGCTCAAACTCTGCAACAAGCCTTATATGTTGCTCAGTTTGGCATAAATATTTATGTTTGGTAATTCGTCTGAAGGGGTTTTCCCTATTGAATTGATACGTGATCAAAAGTTTTCTGATGTACAAGTACATTTCTCGCGACAACTGAAACGAACGGCATAAGTCACGAACAGCCCTTGTAAAGTAGGAAGCTTACTATTGTAGGTTGAGAAAAAGCTTAATTTTCCAGCTAACGAGTGTAGAAAGTTGCGCGAAAACCCAAACAGGTCATGACCGCTGGAATTTTTAAAAAGTGCTCTTTCTATATTTAGGTCTTTGTCACGGTCCACCCGCTTTTCATGGACCAATTTACTTCCTTGCTACGTAATCTTGGTACTAGCCAAAACATTTTATGATGATGCCAACATATTTATTATTATATTAGCACGTACATGTTTCCGGCATACATAAGCAGCGAGAGACAAAATTAACCTCGAAAGATCCTGACGAGATTTCGATAAAAAATCTCAACAAATGAGGGATAAAAGTGCTTAAAAGAAAGAGAGTAAAGAAATAGATGATAGAACCTGTAGCTAACGATTTCATTAACAGTATTGCATACATGTAAGAGCCCTCTTGGCTGATATATGTTACTACGCAAGGTGCAAGCGTTGTTTCCTCGTAATCCTAGAGAACGCTATGCAATACTGATTTTCATGCTTCGGCAATCCATCACGTTCGACGTTGTTTACGAATAATTTTTTCATTGATTTCTCTTAAGATGAGATAAAAAATATAGCTGACAGATCTAGAGAGACTAATGTTTTTTTAGAGGAGACGCTAAGGGGGGCACACTATCAGTACTCAGGGAGGGGTGGGATGTAGTCTATCAGTTCTAAGGGAGGAGTGAGAGACAGACTGTTGTTATTCAGGGAGGGGTGGAAGACGAACTCTTAGTACGCGGCGAGGTGTGGGAGGTGGTTGTATAGGTAAATGCGACTAATTGATGAAGTTTTTACTGGATCATACAAATTTTTTTTGAGCGGTTTTCGATTGACCATTTTTATGTCAAAATTTTTTAGCTTGGCTGTTACTCTGGTCTGTTCTTTTGTCATGCGAATGTGAAACTGCCACTTAAACACTCGACTTCAATTGTTTTTGAAAATATGGCCAATTCTGGTTTTTGATCCTCCACTGTTGAGTCATGTGTGTTCCTTTTAAGTCGACTTGTTCCAGTGCTAAATGACACTCATCTGTTATCACGAACCATCTTTCAGTTGCTTCACGTTTCCCTTTGTGTGGACAGTATATTACGAAATTTATCTAACTTTACTCTTGTCATTGATTTTATCACGGAATTTCCTGTCCTTAATCCTTAACTTAGCAGCATGAAATTCTCATGCGCTATCGCAATTTTGATATTTGCACCTTTACTATAAAAACATTGTTGGTACAGTCGTACAGAGCAATCTTCTCTCTTTACAGATGCACCGTTTTCCGGCTTAAAGTTGAGTGTCATGTCATGCATTCCACTTCGAACATTGATGATTAAAACAGCACAGTTTCTACGCTGGATAATTTTTAAAAGGACAAGTTTGAAAATTACAGATTTCTGATTCAAAATTGAAATATTTCCATTTCGCATATTACCGATTTGAATTAAACTCACAAATAACATTTTTTCATTTTGTTTCGTTCCGCAAATTACAGTAAGCCCTCTCAAAGACAATGACAAAACGACTTCAATGTTTTACAATGACTCGAGAGACGAAAATCTCTCTAATTTCTGAAAAAGTCAGGGTGGTAAGTGTCTTAACTGCAAGCCAAATCAAAATATTATGCAAAAATTTAGGAAAAAACCGAAGTGTACAAATAAAATTAAAGTGTGTGGGCTGTAAGGAAATAAGCATCGATAACTTTTCTGTCTACACCTTTTATATCATCTTTTGTTGAATTTGCTGTGTCATCGATGAACAATAACTGACACACTATTAGTAAACGGTAAGAATCATCATTTCCCCTGTGCACTTTAAAGACCCAGCCATTTTTGTAGTTGATTTCTATGGGCTACATCGAGGCAGTCTTTGTTTCCTGAAAATTGCGTCTTGCAGGAGAGCGGAGCGGCCATAAATTTCTATATTTGAGTTCTTCCCATGCCGTATGCACAAATGGAGGAAGAAGTTTCCTCACAATGTTCAACGAGCCGACATTTTCGCAAGAAGCTACCATTCACAAGTACAAATATCAGAGTCGGCAGCAATTGACTTGATAATAAGAAATCGTGAGCAATAATCTCTCGCTACAATGTGTATTACTTTAGCCGATAATTAACGCATACTAATGAACGCTCGTCTAAGAGAAAAAACAGATAAAAAAAAAAGGAAGTGTGGGCGTGCTCCACGAAAACTCCCGCGCGATAACAAAACTCTTAATTCATGCACTCTGCTCGCAACTTTTGGAATAGTCATTTTTTTCGTTACACAATAAATGCAAAATGAGTTATCTTCATGGAACGAGCAGTGATCGAAAATCATCGAACGTAAAGTCAATACAACATTGAAATTGTTTGAATTGCAGCCCATTCGATCTGTCCGGTCAAGACTCATACCACCCTTCAATTGTTTCATTGGGCTTTCCCAGTGAACATTGATCTTCTGATAGCAAAGTTACACCTCCAAGATACCGAATTTTCCAGGATAAAAAAAAATTTCTCCGATGATTACAAGCTTTCTCACCAATCATTGAACAAGCCGCTACCGCCTCTGCTAAAAAAAAGGCTGATGTAAAAATGGACCCACTTCAATAGAACTTTTCCTTATACGACTTGTCAAATAGGGCGTCATGTTAACCATGAGATAATCATGAGATAACCCTGATTTACGAAACGAAACAAATGAAAAATTGTCCAGCGCTGAAGCTGTCCTGTTTTAATCATCAATGTAAGGAGGGGAATGCGTGACATGCCAATCAGCGTGTGTTCATTGTATCAAAAAGGGGAAAACTGTGTATCTGAAAAAGAGAGAAAATTGTTTTGTACGATTTTACCAACAATGATTTTATATAGTAAAGATATAAACGTTAAAATTGCGAAAGCGCATATGAATTATATGCTGCTAAGTTAAGGGCTGAGGACCAGAAATTCCGTGATCTCGTCTGATAAGGTCAAAGACAAAAGGAAGACAGATAAATTTAATAATTACATACTGTATACACAAAGGGAAACGTGAGACAACTAATGGTTCACAAGTCGACTCAAAAGCCACACGCATAACTCAGCAGAGGAGGATTGTAAACGCGGTATTTTCAATAACAATTAAAGTCTAGTGTTTGGGTGGCAGTTCCGCATTCGCATAACGAAAAAAAAAGAAGAAGAAGAAGAAGAAGAAGAAACGCTGCGGTCCAGCGCAAAAATTTCGGCAAAAAAAAAGCCAGTCGAAAAACCGATTAAAATAATATGATCGAGTACTGATAGATTGCATCCCACCCATCTCCGGGTGCTAACGGTGTGCTTCCCAGCCCCCCGATAAAATGGTCAAAAAAACAGTCCGGTCCATATTTTACCCTATGCCGTACTCAGATCACGTTTACACATTTTGAAAATAAATATTATATATGTGGAACGAACTGACTTTTTTGTGGAACGATCTGACTATTGAGTGGAACGATCTGACTTGGAACGATCTGAACATGGAACGAAATGACCGTAAACCAAACCCTACGAAGGTTTGCAAGTTGAAAGCTTTTAAAAATTAATCAGTGATAACAGGTCATTAGTCTTGCTAACAAGTCTCGTTGTAAACCTATTCAAACGGATTGAGATGATGTTTTAACAACTTGGCGCCATGGTGTATCGTATATCGGCTTAAAGCATTAATCAAAGGGGTTCCATGAACACCAGTTTCGATCCCCAGCTGGCCTTCAGCAGTATCTTACGGAAGCCGAAAAGGGACAATCCAAAAATATTTTGTAAATCCGAAAAAATATTCAGAATCGATATCTTCAAGACAAATCGCTTTTGAAAA